AAATTCCATTTTTGCAAGTAAAGCAAGGGAAAAGATTCAATATTACCCATTAGCCTTCGTTACATCTTGTTTTGGTTCTATGGTTACCTATACTCATAATCCTTGTCAGATCATGTACACATATTTCTCTCTAAAACCAAATGTTTCAGTAAACTGTGTAGCTTCAATGGATTTTCCAATTTCCTTAAGTGGGTTTTCCAGTAGATGACAGATAAAAATTTCTCTGAATTCTCTTTTGCTGCCTTGCCCTTCTGTGACACCGGTGACTGCTGTGCATCACAAAGCCATGTGGCAGAAGTCGTGGCTCCTGTCACTGGCTGATGACAGGGCCTACCACTTCTGCTGGTAAGCAAGTCACATCTCCAAGCCAGCCTGGACAGATATCTGTGGGTTCCATTTCTGAACAGACTTGATGCCTCCTTGTTTGAGATCAGAGTTTCTTACCTCTTCGGGTTCAGAGACCTGCCTAACAAAACACGGTGGCAGGACTGGCTCCCAATTTTGTCCAGGAGGTGCAGCAAGTCTCTTAATGCCCTTCTTTAAATGTGGATAAACTGTATTTATGCTGCAGAGTGGTTCATTCACAAGTGGAATGTATGGATTCAAAAATCTGTTTGTACCTGAGGAAATAGTTGCCCTTCATGCTTCTCCCTGTCTCTGTGTGGACAGCCAAGTATTACGAGTATTTTAGAACCTCACTGTGAAGAGGACTGGGGGGGTTTCCAAGAATACTGTTTATAGTTTGTTTAAGGTTATCAATTGTGTGTCAAATAAAAAGCTCACTGCAGATGATCATGGTGCAGTACTTTGAAGTCATTTAACTCAACATTATTTACAGAATATTTATCTTGGTTATGGCAGTTTTTGTTGTGCAGCGATATTACTTCTCCATTATATACTGCATGTGACCGCCATATAAGTTTGATAATAAATGCTGGGAAATAAAAAACAGAGTAAGTGCCTCAGTATGATAGCAATTCCCATGCGATGGGAAATAATGTCATAAACTTCAAATTACCTTTTAAATAAATGTTCATGTCCAACCCATCCATTAGATCATAGCCTGAAGGTCAGGAGGATCGTTTCTTCATATTTCACTGTATGCATTATGGTTGCTTCTTTAGGTGTAAATGATGTTTTTAAATGAAGAATGGCACTCAAACTATACACAAACAATGGCTAGACATTACTGAGTCTCAGCATGGCAGAAATAGCCTCAGCCACTCTGCTAAATATAGAAATGCAGCAGTAAATTGAATTCATTCTTAGAAAATATTTTTAATGGCTGAGACAATACAGAAATACAGTTTGTGTGATTCTCACAGTATGAAGCTTTGACATTTTAGTCAAGTTTGAATTCTAGTTGTGGTTTGGTAAATGGCTGATTTGCAAAATGCTTGTGAGAGTAAAAATTTTGGAGAGGAAGGCAGAGCATACCTGAGCATGCAGAGAAGTGCACAGGTAACAGATATTGTATTTACGAGAGTCTGTACCATGCTTTGTGCATTTGTGAAGAGGTGCCAGCTCAGTAAGTGCCATGGGATGGTGTGAAACACCCCGCACTGTGAGACCCTATTATTACCAATGGCTTTTGGAGGAAGTGAATGCTGATGACCCATCTCAAGGCGAAATTCCTCATAAAGACATTTCCCTGCTTTGAGCTGGATGTCCCTTGCCCATATGTCCTGGAGGAGCCCATATGGCTCCCCAAAGCACCCCATGCATCAAAATTTTACCTGTGGTGGTCTTGAACATGTTATCCCTGCAGTGCCAGGCTAGAAACCCAAGTGGGATCTGGGCTGGCTGGGCTAGCAGAGAAGTGGCTTTGGAGAAGCAAAAGCTGTAGCTGTGCTGGGGTGGCTGATGTGTGCGTGGGGATGGGGCAGGTTCCTCAGCCAGGGCTGGGCTGGCTGGGAGAGGGGGAAGGAAGAGCTGTCGGGGGCTGTCAGATTGATCTGGAAATAAATTCAATCCAAGAAGTTCTGTTTACAGTCAGGGGAAAACCCATTGTCATGGAGATTTAAAATTCCAATCAAGAAATTCAGGGGTGTTTTTCTTCAGCTATGATTTGACCTTCCTGTTTACATTAAGCATTTTTACAGCAGAGTGCAGTGACGTGGTTGCTTTGTTTGAGGTATTTGACAGTTACAGCAGTTCTGGGAATTATTGTTTTGGTTCTATATATGTCAGGAAAGAAATATGTTAATATTTGAGATAAGGTACATTTTTTAAAACGTATTTAAATTTGTTATGATTCTCAACTTCACCTTCTTCCACGAGGACCATGAACATATTAAACTTCATTTTAAAACAACATTTCTTAGTAACATATTAAATACTTTATGTCCAAAAAGATCTTTTGGTTAGAAGTTAATCTGTTCCAGAACCAATTGTCTATAATATTGTTTCTTTTGTCATTATAATTCGTGTAAAAATGGTACATTAATTTCTTAGAGATCACTTGATCTCAATTCTTTTTTGTTAGCAGAGGTCTATAATCCTTTCCACAGCAACCACTTGTAAAAGCAGAGGATTATGACTTGAGGCAGGATATGAACAGCAGGAACAGATCAACTTAAAAACAAAGATCCTGTTTGAGTACAAATGCTATTGTTAGCACAGAGTTGGGGTGAGTCAAGTGGCAGGATGTCTATTAGAATATAATAAATTCATATCAATGCCACATGGCATGCTAGCCAGAAGACAGATCCTTCTGGCAGTTTTGTGACAGACTTCTTTTTTTTATACCTTTACTTATTATACGTTTGCTTAGTCCAATAAACCATTCCCTCTAGGAATGGCTGATGTATAAACATCTGAGCAGCTTTTTGGTGTTTTTATAGATTTATTTTTCTGTCTAAAAAGCTTCTGCTCTGTTATACTTTTTCCCAAAATCTGCTAAAAGCAGGGATTTGAAATTACACTACTGCAGGGTCATTCTGAGGTTAGTAATAGACATTGAGTACTGTTGCTATCCTTTCTTATAAAGTGTGTGATCCTCCAGAGAAAAGGAGAAAAAGAGGATTTTTCTTTGTTCCTCTATTTAAAAATAAGATACAATGACATTTTTTCCTTTATTAAAAAGTCTTGGGTTTAATACCAATAGTTTAACTGACCTATCTAACAGCAATATATGTGACTCAATTCGACATATTTTTGAAGTATAATTTATTTTTCTAATATTTTTCATGTTAAAGTTACTAGGAAGCTACAAAGGTACCAACTGACAGAATACATACTACTCAAGTGTGGAAAACCCCTGCTTTTGGTAAAAATTAGAAAACTTTTTCATGGCCTAGAAAAAATGAATAAATATCCAAAAATGCAGTGATGGAGTCAGGTAGCAGTTTCACTTGTGACAGTCTTCTGTACAGTTATTCCAACAACTGACACCACATAGAATTAGTAATCTCTTCTTCCCAAGCTTCTGTTGACTGTATTTTTGTAATAGACAGTGAAACATAGTCCTGTTTATAAATGATAGAAATTTAATGTCAATTTATCTTAATTTGTACATGCATGCATACATGTATGTATCTATGTATATACATACTGTATTAAATACCATCATGTAGAAAAGTTCACATAAGCATCTCTAATGGCAAGTAAGACAGAAGTTTTGGTAGAAAAGAATGTTTGAAGGGGTGTTTAATCATTGTCTTGTGGTGACAGGAGGAGACTCAATGCAATGGTTTCAGGGAGTTTGTTTGAATGCTTGCTGCTGCATGGATTAGGATACCCCTTCAGTGTCCTAGAGTTTGCAAAGTCAAGAAACGCCCCAAACATAGTCTTAAGTTATATTTTGAACTGTCTGAAAAGATTTTATTGCTGTTGATAAATAATGGCTTTCAGATCATCCTGCTGGCACTTGGGCTGCAACTAAAATATCAATGAATAAGAAAACAGAAGCCGTGGCATTCCAATGGTATGAATTTTTCAGCCTGTATTTTGTTAGCCTGAGGCAAAAGATTGAGCTCTTAGTACTCATCTGTGCAGAATGAGTAATGTGAGACAAATGTGTACCCACACTGTGTGTGCAATATGGCCACATCCTATAGACTTGCCACGCAGCTAAGGACCCCTCATGGACAATAGTCATATGTTAAAAATGATAATTTTATTACAATATCTGTGATCTCACCACCACAGCTGATTGTAACACCATTACAATATGACAGTGTGACTGTGGGTCTGCTCATCCTGTAAGAATCAGAATTTTATACTATCAGGAGTTGGTTTTACCAGCAGGATTTTCTGTTACCTGACCAGAATTCTGTATATTTGCACAAATTCTATGCATGAGAGCAACTGAAAATACACATTCCCAGCACTATCTGTTTTGGTGTTTCAACATGACTTGCATTAGTGTGTGTGATAGCTTGAATTTTCTTTCTTCACCAAAGCTGCTTAAACAATGCAATGACAGATTTCTGCTTTTATTCTTCGTTAATGTCATTCTTCATCCTCTCTGCCCCACATCAGGGAGGAAGTGTTGCGAGTTTGCTATTTTAATGAAGAGAAATGAGGCATCTATCAACTAGGATTTACATTGGAGAGCACATCAATTCAGTTGCCTTGAGCTTGCTGAGTTTGCACATCCAGGGCCAAGCAGTGCTCTCAATTACTCCCGTGCAACCCCATTAACTTCAGGAGGTTGTGTAGTTCAAAAGTGGCTTTGCAGAATGTGGGGGAGAAAAACATATATATATCTGCTAGAGGAGTCAAGCTCCAAAATGTGATTTTGGTTATCTATATGGAGATGTGCGTGCAGTCATAATTGCACTTTTGAAAGGTTAGGGTAGTCATCGTGTAGTAATTTCATTGAGCATCCCTTTGTAGCTGTGCTTAACAGAACAGACAGCCGCCCAAAAATTACTGCAGTGAGGGGGAAAACACTTCCAGCCTTGGAAACATATTGTAAATCATATGTCTTTAGTAGACTCTATCCTGTAATTACTCTTAACTGTGGCTTGTTTCCTCCTCTCTCTCTCTCTCTCCAGGAGCTATGCCGGCAGCGCATGGCAGTGAAGAGCTCTGACCGCCCCGAGCCCCTGCACTCCTCCCGCATCAACAGCGTTTCCTCCCAGTTCAGCGATGGGCCCATCCCCAGCCCCTCGGCCCGGAGCAGCACCTCGTCCTGGTGTGAGGAGCCGGTCCAGTCCAACATGGACATCTCCACCGGTCACATGATCCTGGTAAGGCACTTCTGACGTCGTGGCACGAGCGATTGCGACAGAATTTTAGGCACCTGCTCAGCTTTTGGAAAGAGAGAGCTTTAAATGACAGGGAAGATGTGTTTTCACAGGTGGAAAATATTCCTGAGCTTCATTGGTAATCTTAACTTTGTATGATTAAAATAGGCATTTTTATTTCCATTTTTTTTTCATTATATCTTTGTTTTTTTTCTCTTGGGAACACTCTTTTAACATGAACATATTAATTGTTTGCATGCTTGCTTTTAAGAAAAAAAAAGCCCTGTGGTGTTCTCTTGTCCTATTAATTTATGTTTAGCTCAGCTTGGACAGCTGAAGAAAGCTGCCAAATTTCTGATCAGCTCGCTGCTTTTTCTCATGTGTCTCCAGTGTGTGGAGGTATCTGAGCTGAGAAGGCAATAGAAGATTAGTGATATGGAGCAATTTATTTCTGTCACCCTTAGAAAAAGGATCTGCATTTTGAGCCTTTTTGGGTTTTGTCCTTGGATGAATTTCTTCCAAGCTGGATTTCTTGTGTTTGAAATTATCCAAATATATTCTATTGGTGGAATCTATGTTGGAAATCTTGGGTTACTTCCAAGCACAGCTTGAGACCAGTATCAGTGTAGAAGATGGACACATGAAGAGTTTTTTGTGTGTAAGAGTCAGAGTCCAGTAGTTGGCACTGGTGGAACTTGTTTCTGTCCTGCTGGGAGAGCTGTAGAGTAATCCTCCATTTTTTGTGTCTTATTTTAATCTTTCTTTAAATATTTACTGTCTCTCTAGAGTGCATTGACATTAGCTAAGTAGAAGTTAGGTTGTGGTGAAGAACTTGACCAAAAGTTGTGTTATTTTGCTTGTATATTCTGTTTTTACCTAAAGTAAGCATCCTTTCCAGTTGATAGTTTGCCATGTTTTTGAGAACTTCTCTCCCTCATGTCATACTTTTGGGTCATAATTTTTAAACTTCTTTCTTTTTCTGGACTTATATTTGAAAGTACTATCTTCTGATGTATTACAAGCCAACCTCACATAATGGGGAAAGGAATGAAGGCAGGCAAAACCCAAAAACCTAATTTGACCTCAGCCAAGTTACTGACCTCCTTCAGCCTTGATTGAGTCAGCTATAAAACTGAGCAAAAGCAGGGCGGGATTTTAAACCAGGTGCTGCCTCAGAGTTTATCATCCTGAGTAAATACATCACTGCCATCCCCCTCCAAAAGTAATTAATTAATTATTATGTTAATACCGGGTGGACAAGTGCAGTTTGAAAGGGCTGTTCCCATGACAGAAAACCATTTGTTACAGTTTTGACTGTTCCACTATTGCCTAACCATAATTAAAATTCACTTGATTTCTTTTCATTGTTAAGTAAAATACTTGGGGGCTGGCGGGGAGGATTGGGAACCCCAAACATTTCCAGTTGCCCAATCTCAAAATAAATACAAATTCTGAGGCAAAAAAGGTTCAAAAAGATCTAGGCAATATATTTGTATGGAAATAGGAGCAAGATTTCCTAGGTAGATGGAAATACTAATTTAACATTTGCAAACAGTTTCAACTGCTTCAAATTGAGCAAAATAATTTTCAGTGATATTATTGGGAAACATAAAAAAATCATCTCAAAATCATGCTTAAAGCAGAGAAAGTTGCTTAGGGGTACCACTTATTCTGTCTCTGCAATTTTCTGCAAAATTGCAAGAATGAATTGTCTTCATATGGCAGTAAATAAACTTTAAAAAGTAGTCAGATTGGTCAAGATCACTGTTATGGTGTTCAGTGTCCATAATTCAGTCAATCCTGTTTAACCCTGGATGAACTCATACATGTGTTAACTATCTAACAGCAGATGTTACATTTTAGATGGTGAGGGTTCAAAGAAGGGTAAAAAAATGCTGTAGGATTTTGAGAGTGCAAGCCACACAGAGAGAGGAAAAACAGTTAATTTGTTAAGTGTAACCTGAGCAAACAAAAATCAGTGATTCAGGGGAGTCTGCCTACGTGCTGTGACATACAGGATGGGGAAAAATTGTTCTTAATGGACTCAGATGATACAATTAGGAAGAAAATATGTGTTAGCATCAAAATATGCATTTAGCTTTGCTATCAGGGCAAGCCTAATAGGAGGGTCAGGCAGGCAGTGGGATGTTTACTTAAGGAAGCAGTTAAACCATAAATACAAGACTTGCCGAAGGCGAAGCTGGGTTAGGATTACATGGAAGGATCAGCATCCCTCAGCTCCAGCACAGAGGCAGATGATTGGGCTTGATCAGAAATGTTCATGTTTTGTGTCACTGTGGGTCACAATGAAACTGGAGAGCTGACCCAGTTTATGTTCTGCTCAAAAATAAATGCACATCTCTGTAATACCTTATTTACCTGAATTTCTCTCCTTCCGGGGGGGCTGTGGCTTGTTGGACCTCAGCAACAGAAGCAGCTCACCAGAGGTGAACTCTTCCTCTCTTTGCCTCGCAGATACAAGTGGAGGAGTGTGAGGAGATACTTTGCAACTTTTATACCATTCAGTAAAAGACATTTTTCAGTTCTTCTAATTTCCCTCTGCCACAATCCTCTTCCTTTTAAATTTCGTAGATATTTCCTTTGAAAAATATCTCAGTGCCCAAAAAAGCCATGAGAAATACTAGCAAGGGGCCTAGTGAGAATGGCAAATACCCTCTGCTTTGCAGGGTAAATGCACTTATAAGTCTGTAAATGTGTTTTTGAGCTCCACAATGTGCAGTGAAGGAGTAGTTAGCTGAGCTAAGGCTCCTCAGTACTTATTGCTCATAGGTGCCAGGATCTCCCTAGAGAAAATAAAACAATGGATTACTGTGTAAAGTGGCAGCAGGAAATAATTTTTTTTATTCATAAACAGAATAAAACTTTAATGAAAATAGCTTAGAAGTGTGTGACTGCTGAATGACTCCATGTAATCTTATTCAGAGGTAGCATTGGCCAGAAATATTTCTGTAAAGCTGTTGAATTTGCTGGAAAATGCTATCAGTCATACCTGCAGTCATATCTAAGTCGTCTCAGCTGAGGGTCTGTTGGAGCTTGGGTTGGCCACAGGTACTGTTTTCTTGGAGGACTTTCCACTTGTTAGCCCATTGTTTATAGTGCTCGAGGCGTGCAGAAACCAGGAATCTTCCAAGCCCTGTGGCTGTGGGGCAGTCTCCTCACTTAGACTGAAACCAGCCTCCAAAGGGAAAAATCGTGCATTCCTGCCACTTCCCTGTGCAGCAAGGCAATGCCTCTGCACTGCTGCCAGCAGCGTGAGGTGGTTTGAGCTGTTGGCAGGAGGAAGCAGGGAGGGCTCAGGAGGCCCAGAAGGACAGTGATAACAACATTCAGAGGTTTTTTTTTTTCCTTTTCACTGTCTTTTTCATCACATTTCTAACAGGAGGGTGGCGCATATGGCACATTTTGATTCTGTCTTTCTAAAAAATCCAAGCACTTTGGGAAGTGTAATTAGAGGAGCATGTTTAATGCAGTCATGTTTGTGGCGCTGACTGGCTCGTTTCAGCATGAGCAACAACTGAGGATGTGTACCCTCATTTTGGTCACCACTGGTTTTGGAAGGAAACATCATTCAGAAGGTCACAACAAGGGAAAGAATAGGACCTTAAATTTCCACCCACTTTATTCTCATGGGTGTGTCTATATTGCAGCGGACAAGAGAAGTTCTAATAAAGGACAACAATTCCTATTGCAGTCCAGCAAGAAAACCAGAGGGTGTTTAAAAGTGATCAGGAGAGATTTAGTCTCCCTATCTTGTGCTCCTATATTTTAGGCATTTAATGAAGTGTTGGTGTTGACTTGAGTCCATAAATTCCCCCTCTAGTTGATGAAGGGAGTAGGTGCCTCTGAAGGTCTCCAGAGAATTGGGCAGAGAGTGCATTTCTCTTGAGATGCCTCCTTTGTGCCTGCACAATCCAGTTGATGTTTGCAGTTTACATGAAGGAGTCTCTTTTGTTTGTGCTGTAGCACAAGCTCAGCACCAAGATGGATTGGATCCTGCACCTGCTTCATGTATTACCATGCTTTTTTGGTTAAAACAATTGTAATATTTTATGATGTTTTAAATGAAGAAGAGTACTGCAAGAAGGGAATGCATGCTTTTGGTGATAACATTCTGAGGTTGTTATGTGAATACCATATAAGAGAGGGTATTTGCAGAAGAAGAAGTGATTTTCTGTGTTTTGCAGGGTTTTCCTTGTAAAGACAGATGTGCAAAATTTAGAGCATTACACATAAATTAGAATTTCAGAAAGTGTGAATTTACAAGAGGTCTTTTTCAGTATTTTTTGTAAGCTGAAGTCATAGACATCCTCTCCCAGAGGGTATGAAACTGCTTTATGTATTGGAAGTAATAATAATATGTGATTGTTTGTGATGATGTACTTTCCAGAAGGAGAAGAAAGTTTCATATTTGGGCTGAATGAGGTGATGGGAACAGATGAACTAGAGCCTGAAATCTATGGCCTTTTATCTAAGAGATATAAGTCTGCTTAATTCCCTTGTCTTTGGCAATATGCCTGTAAAACTAGGAGGACATTCACCACAGACGAGTGAAGGATGGCCTCATGTGAGAACTTTCTGTCCAAGTCCTGGGACAGGTTGTGTCCCAGAAGGTGACACAACCTTCATTTGGGATATGGGGTGGGGGCCTGGGGCTGCTAAAATGGGCAAACCCCAAGTGCTGAATTTTGCATCCACTTTAGTTTTGATGCTGAATCACTGACAGGATTGCTGTGGGACTGGGAAGGATAACAGGGACAGAACAGTTTCCAAGATTGAACCTGGGGGTTTTTGATTATATTGGTGTCCTCTACTCTCTGAATCTCTTTTGATGGTTTCTTAGCAATTTCCCCCTCACTAGCATTTTTTTTGAAGTGAATTCTTTTTTAAATAAGCTCTATAGGGTAGCAGCTATAGATTCTTTTTAATTGAATATGAAATAATGTAGAACTGAGTGACTAAAGACACATTACAACAAGAAAAGG